CGGCCCCGCCCAGAGCATGTGGTTCTCGCCAATCATGACCCAGGCATCTTCCCGGCCCCGCCTCCCTCGCGGGCCCCGCCCCAGCACGGAGACTCCGCCCCGATCTCGGCTCCGCCCAGAACGCGTTGTCTTGGCAACCAGGCTCGGCCCGGATTCCGCTACGTTCGCTGCGGGCGCCGCGGCGCAAACTCCTGCCCGCGGGCCCCGCCCCCACAGGGGCCTCGAGGTCACTGCGCTGCAGGGCGCGTGGCCCCGGTCCTCCCGGCCCTCTGAAGTCCCCCCGAGATCCGCCTTCCCTGCCCCCTGAAGTCCCCCTGGAGCTCCTCCGGGCCCCGATTCCCAGACTGCGCCGGCGCTGCCCGGCCTCTGCCCACAGGCCTGGGCCCCCAAGGCCACTCTCCAGGATGCGGCCCCCCAAGGCCACTCTCCGGGACACTGCCCCTCGAATGACCCCAGGGCTTGTCCCCGCCGAGGCCCCAGGGCCAGCAGCCCCCAGCGGAGCTCTAGGAGTGGCGACCATACCCCTTGCCTCTGCTGGACCTGTGCCCACGAGGGTCCGAGGCGGTCACCCTCATCCGAAGGCGCTGGAGGTGGAGGGTCCAGGGCGACAGAGGAGCCCGGGGTGGCCGAGTGGCCTCTGTGCTCCATTTCTGGACGGTCCCCTTCCCCAGCCCTAACGCCAGGGGTCATCCGAGTGACAGCGGTGGAGGAGGGGAGCAGAGGAGACGCCAGGTGTGGACACCCTGCCAGACAAAGGGCCTCCCCAGGACCATGCCCGGTCAGCCCCCGCTGTTTGGGGGTCGGGATGGCCAGGAAGGTGTCCATCCCCCCGGGGAACGGCTGTCAGCGCTGTGGTCTGTGACTTGTTAGGGCCTTAAGAGCTTGGTCCTGGACACAGGGGCAGTGTGTGTCCTCGGGGACCAGGCAGCCTGACCAGGTGGGGCCCGGTGCAGGGACCTGGGCTGTCCACTCCTTGGTCAGTCTGGCCGGCAGCGGTGGCCACGGCGCCCCCAGGTGGTGGCAGGAAGCATGATGCTCTCCAGCAGGGTCAGGCTCGCATGGCGAGTGGTCAGTGCCTGCCTGCTTTCCCGTGAGCTAGTGTGGTTATTTGGAAAATTAGTGCCATGACACCATTCAAGGTCTGGAGTCTATGGAACCACCCCTTTGATTTCTAAACGCAAGGCACTGTTCAGCTTCCTATGGCAAAGTCTGAACTGGATCACTGAGGTGAGGGTTGCATCTTGTAGGGCTCTGGGTCCAGTCAGGGCCCCCATATCAGGTGGATGTAGGACAAGATCTAGGTGTCCTGTAACTTGAGCTATGGAGAGGGGTGGGTTATGGTCCCTACATCTGTCAATGTGGCTCAGTGTGACCATGCCTCACCCTGGTTCCCGTCCCCAGAACACCCCATCCCCACCTTATGTGGCCTGACAACCCACACCCACTTTCCTGTCACCCTTCCTCTGAGCTGGGACCGAGGTTGGGGGCTGGGAGGGGTGTAGTACATAGTCTGGAAGAGCTCTGTCAACCTGCACCCTGCGCCTTGAAGGCTCCTCACTCTGTCCCCTCCCACCTGCTGCCCTACTCATGGTCCAACTGAAAGGCCCACTCCTTCACTTGGGCCTGGGGGTCAAGGCCAGGTGGTGTCAAAGGAGTGTCCTGTTCCACTTCTGTCCTTTCCAGTGCTGGTCCCTCATATCATCGTGGTCTCCAGTCTCTGAAATGGGAAGGGGCTCTGTAAGATGGGAAGAGGAAGGGGATCACAGGAGACCCTGGAGAAGCAGTAGCTGGGGCTGCTGTGACCCACTGCCCAGCCCAAAGGGTCTACAAAGACAGTACATTTCATTGCACCCATGTGGAAAATGAGGGTGCCTGAGAGTCCACATGTGTTCTGTGGAACCCTGGTGGTACAGAGCATAAGCTATTGGGCCATTAAGTGAAAAGTCAGCAGGTGAAGTCCACTAGCTACTCTATGGGAGAAAGATGGGCAGTTTCCTTCCATAAAGATGTACAGCTCGGGGGAGCTCTGGTGGCCTAGTGGCAAGAAGCTGCACTGCATTCCCAGAGGAACACGGTTCGAATCCACCAGATGCTCTGCCGGAGAAGGAGGCGCAATATCCTCCTGTACCAGTCAGATCTGATTTGACGGTACACGCACACAAAATAAAAAAAATTAAAAAAAAAAAAAAAAAGATGTACAGCTCGAGAACAGGATGGAGAGGCAGCAGCAGGCTTGGGTTCTGGTCTGGTGAAGTCCTTGTAGCAGTGCCCCGCAGACAGGCCTCACTACGTCTCCAGCAGAGTTCAAGGCCAGACACAAAGAGCGCGAGGGGCCCAAGGGGCTGACCAGCCCCAGTGCTCCTGTCTGCTGCCCTTCACCCTGTGCTCAGTTCCAGGGACAGCTGGAGAGCCCACAGCTTTGCAGGAGCCGTTCTCTCTGCCCACACACTGCATCCTGCACAGTGCCTGTCCCACTCCCAAAAGTCTGATCTCAAAAATCGGCTTGAGCGATGCCTCCTCCAGGAAGCCTCTCAGGCTGAGTTAGGGTGCCTCTCCTGTTGGGGGCCCCCTATACAGCTCCCTGACACTGACTGTCAACCCTATCTTCACTAATCTGGCTGGAGCGAGCCAAACTCAACTTCCCTGGAGGGCCTGGTCTGAGCCAGGGCTGGGGTAGGGGAAGGAAAGGACGGACCTTGTGGGGACCCAGGGTGGTTCGGCTGCCCCGAGTCAGGTCTCTGGGAGGCTAGAGGGAAGTGGCAGGCCGTGGATGCTCCCTGTACCCTCACCCACCCTCACAGGCCTGGATTAGAGAGAAGAGGCAGGAAGGTATTTTGTAAACGGTCTTGTTGTGGACAGCAGCAGCCTGGTGACACACCCCCGGCAGCCAGGCTGATCTCAGCCGGGGTTTGGCCTTGGATGAGGCTGGAGGAATCAGAGGGTGCCCTGAGCAGGGTGGGGATGATGCAGAGGTGGCCCTGATGGGTAAGGTAGGGCTGGGAAGCAGAGAACACCCCACATAGGGAAGCTTGGCCCAGCTGGTGGCAGTGGTTTCTGTGGGAAATGTGGGGGCCTCAGGCCTAATACCCCCCAAAGCCCCCTCATGGGCCCAGCTCTGATGCTGAGCTCTAAGACGACCAAGGGGCTTCTCCCAGGGGTCTCAACACTCACCCTGTACCCCAGAACCCCTGAGATGGCTGCTCTGCCCACCCAGACAGCTTGGTAGCCACGGTCTCTGGATCACCCGTGACCACTCATCTGGTGGCCTTACCCACCTCCTGGCTCTCCGTGTCCCCAGCTTCCCAGCCCACAGGTCCCCCTCTGGCCATGGTCCTAGAACCACACTCTCACTGGTCAGGAGTCTTCCTTGCCAGCCAGGCTCAGGACACGCCTGGTTGCTCTGTGGGCTTCTGGCAAAACATCCTTGAGGGACACAAGTAGGAGCTGTGTTTGCTCAGGAGGTGGCCGCCTTCAGTCTTCAGAGTGTCCCTGCTGCTGTGTGGGGACATGGAGGTAAGAAGATGTGTCAGGCTGCTCGTTGGCTGCGCACCTGTGGAACACAAGCGCTGCCCACGATGCTGAGGTCCACAGAGCAGCCATGCCGATGGGCCCCTCGGGCAAGCGGGCCGACCACACTCCGGCCATGGCAGAAACCAGCTGCTGATGCCTCAGCCTAGATGCTGGGGTCCTGGTGGCTGCACACGACGCCCGCATCCTCTTGGTGACCGCAGTTGTGCGTGCCCACGCCGGCATGCGCGCACGCCAGCAGGTTGGGCTCCTTCCCGGTGCAGCGCACGTCGTCCAGCAGGATGGGCAGCGAGCGGCCCTCGCCAAACTCCGCGCGCTTCACCGCGCGCACCGCGTGCGCAAAGCCCAGCTGGCGGCACACCACGGCAGCGGCCTTGGAGTCCCAGGCGTCGTCACACACGGTGCCCCAGCGCCCTCCCGCGAACACCTCCACGCGCCCACGGCCCGCGCTCAGGCCAGCGGGCCGCACCAGGCGCACCGCGCCATTCGCCAGGGC